TGATAAAGGACTTTTATCCACAGTATACAAAAAACCCTTAAAACTCACCAGTGAGCCCATGAATAATGCAATTTAAAAATGTGCAAAACACCTGAACAGACATCACACCAAAGAAGATAAACAGATGGCAAATAAGCATATGAAAAATTTTCAACATCATATGTCATCAGGAAAATACAAATTAAAACAACAAGATAAAAGTATACATCTATTAGAATGGCCAAATTTCCAAATATTGACAGCATCAAATGCTGGTGAGGATTCAGAGACAAAAGAATTCCTATTCATTACTGGTGGGAATGCAAAATGGTACAGCCATTTTGGAAAACAGTTTAAAGTTTTCTCACAAAATAAAATATACTCTTACCACAAGATCCTTGGTATTTACCCAAAGGACTTGAAAAGTTCTTTCCACACAAAAAAACTGCACAGGAATGCTTATTCATAATTGCCAGAAGTTGAACTCAACCAAGATATCCTTCATTAGGTGAATGGATAAGTAAACGGTGGTAGATCTAGACAACAGAATATTATTCTCTACCAAAATGAAATATCAAGCCATGAGAAGATATGGCTTTTATATCTGAAGGAGAAAACAAATACAATTACTAAGTAAGAGAAGTCAGTCTGAAAATTATACTGTATAATTCCAATTATGTACCATTCAAGAAAAGGCAAAACTATGAAAAGAATAAAAAGATCAGTGGTTACCAGAGCTTAGTAAGGAGGAAGGAAGAAATAAGGGTTCACCAAGAATGAAACTTAATGTAAACACTGGCTTTTGGATGATAATGCTGTGTTGATTGTAACAAATGTACCACTCTGGTGTAGTATGTTGAGAGTGGGGAAGGCTGGAGAAGGTGGAGGGTGTTACAGGAACTCTACTTTCTTCTCAATTTTGCTGTGAACTTATAATTGTACTAAAAAATAAAGTTTATTAATTTAAATACCTGAACTTGAAAAACTAGAATAGAGCATGCTCTGACACTTCCTTCTTGGGGTCACATGTGTAAATGAAATTTTTTTCTCCCAGTAAGAAAACAGAGTTGGAGGCTGCAGCACTCAGTAGGGATCTACAGCCCATCTACCACATAATGGCATCTGCATCTTTCATAATGAAACTCTGCAAAGAAGAAAAGGGGCCCCAAGAAGCCTCACCGATGAACAATAGGGATTTGGACAAATAAAGCCACCTAGATTCTAGTGTAGAAATGCTATTTCTTGGGGAGGGAGGCGGGAGGGGGGATTGGGATGGGGAACACATCCATTACAGCCACGTAAATCAATGGCTGATTCATGTCAATGTATGGCAAAAACCACTACAATGTTGTAAAGTAATTAGCCTCCAACTAATAAAAATAAATGAAAAAAAAATGTTATTTCTTTGATGAGATTTGCTCACTTGTCAAGAGAGTAGTAAAAACAACTACTGCTCGGTGAATAAACTTTCAAAGAAATAAATGAACTGTTATGGAGTATATATACATATTATATATAATTTTTATTCTACAAGTCTACATTTTAAAACAGAAATAAGCTAAGAAGTGTCCTCATTCATGAAAGTGGGGACGTTAAGTAGGTATTAGTACAATCATGTTCATAAAAGCATCATCCAACATAGTCAAAAGATGGAAGCAACCTAAGGGTCCATTGACAAATGTATGGAGAAGCAAAATGTCATATATATGCATTGGGTTGGCCAAAAAGTTTGTTTGGGTTTTTCTATAAATTGGCTATCTAGCAATGCTTAGTTGTCCTTAACTTCATTTGAAAACATTTTAAGATTGTACTGCTTCAGCTGTCCTATCAGTGTGCATTAAAAAAAAAACAAACTTACCATAATTGGCGAATTTTTGAGTAGCCATTTTAATATTGATGATGGAATAAAAAAGCAACATTTTTAGCATATTATGCTTTATTATTTCAAGAAAGGTAAAAAACACAACTGAGACACAAAGAAAGATTAGTGCAGTCTATGGAGATGGTGCTGTGACTCGTTGAACATGGCTGAAGTGGTTTGTGAAGTTTCATGCTGGAGATTTCTTGTTGGATGGTGCTCCATAGTTGGGTAGACCAGTGGAAGCTGACAGTGATCAAATCGAGACACTGAGATCAATGTTACGCCACACAGGAGATAGCCAACATATCCAATTATCCAAAATATCCAAATCAAGCACTGAAAATCTTGTGCACCAGCTTGGTTATGTTCATCACTTTGATGTTTGGGTCCCACATAACTTAAGCGAAAAAGCCTTCTCACCCATATTTCCATATGCTATTCTCTACTTAAAGGTAACAAAAGATCCCTTTTAAAAACAATCTGTGATGGGGGATGAAAAATAGATACTGTACAATAATATGGAACAGCAGAGATCACAGGGCAAACTGAACCACCACCAAACACAACACAGTCCAGTCTTCATCCAAAGAAGGTGATCCCAAAGAAGGAATTGGTAGGGAGTCTTCTATAATGAGTTCCTTTGGAAAACAAAACTATTAATTCCAACAGGTACTGCTCCCAATTAGACAAACTGAAAACAGCATTTAACATAAAGCATCTGGAATTAGCCAACAGAAAACACATACTCTTCCACCAGGATAATGCTAGACTGCATGTCTCTTTGACAACCAGACAAAAACTGTTACAGATTGACTGGGAATCTGTATTCATCCACTGTATTCATCAGACACTGTATCTTCAGATTTCCATTTATTTTGGTCTTTACACAATTCTCTTAATGGAAGAAAAATTCCCTGGAAGACTGTAAAAGGCACCTGGAACAGTTCTTTGCTCAAAAAGATAAAACGTTTTGGGAAGACGGAATAATGAAGTTGCCTGAACAATGGCAGAAGGTAGAGGAACGAAAGGGTGAATACACTGTTCAATTAAGTTCTTGGTGAAAATGAAAAATGTGTCGTACTTTTACCTAAAACTGAAGAAAGTTTTATTTTTGGCCAACCCAGTAACCTACAATGGAATATTAATCAGCCTTGAAAATTCTGACATATGCTATAACATGACAAACCCTCCTGAAGATATTGTTAAGTGAAATAAGCCAGTCATAAAATGACAAATACTAATGATTGCACTCATATGAAGTATTCAGAGTAGTTAAATTCAGACAGACCAAAGATAGAATGGTAGCTGCCAGGAGCTGAGGGAAGGGATAAATAGGGAGTTAGGTTTAATGGTTACAGAGCTTCAGTTTTGCAAAATGAAAACATTTCTGTGAATGGATCGTGATGATGATTTCCAACAATGTGAACATACTTAGTTACTGAACTGTACATTGAGAAATGTTTTTAAAATAGTAAATTTTAGGTTATGTATATTTCACCACAATTTAAAAACAGAAATAATGTTTTAGACTATCTTACTGCACTTGGGATTCTCAAGAAGCTGTATCTAAAAGAAAGATGAATATTCTGTGTTCCATAATCTTTAGAGACTGAAGAGATCAATGAGACATGACTAATGAACACATCTGAAAACAGCCAAGTTTCACACAAATATATGGATTTTATTGACACATGATATTCCCTTACCATAATAAATAGAATGCAATCTTAATGGTTAGTGTGGAGTTGAGAAGGCAGTGTTATTTTTGATAGGGGTGGTCAGATTTTGTGGTACCATTTTCTTAGAACTGCATCTAAGATGGAACCAGCATGTGGGCTGGGAATCACACAGGTGTGGGCAACAACATAATCATAAACCCTGGTCAATATCCCCTCAATATTCCCCCAAGGTTTCCTCCCATCCCAGTTTTAACATAATATATCATAAAAATAGCTAGTGCCATAAAAAGTCAACATTTCAAATATAAAAATTCTTTTATACAAATATAATTCATAATATAATCATTCTTAAAATACAGCCATTTATATATGAGCTTGAAACATTATTAAAATAAATATTTTCTAGAGAAAATTTCATTTGCATCACAAAACTATAAAACAGAAGAATATAAACCTAATCCACGATTGACTCTTCAGTGTTCAGTGTGCCCATTATTTCCCCCGCTCGGTATGTGCAGTATGAAGTGCACATAGGTAGCCTGAAAACACACATCGCCCTCTCTACACCTAGATTTTGAATTTCATGTACATCTACATGGAGCGCCCACAGTCTTTCTGCCTGCACATTCTGTACCTGGAACTTCTGTGTTATGAATGGTTTTCCTGTACCAATACACATTAAAGCATTTTTCCAGCCATCCTTCAGTTCAGATATCATAAATTTGCTACTTTCTGGAAGCAGAACCGTTCACTGCCAAATCAAGGGAGCTACATCTTTGTTCCCTGCATGGGACTGTAACAGCCCATGTTTTCTGATTGTCTAAATTATTTGGATTTGGGTATTGCTGAACGGTACTAAGCCTGATTTCCAGCACTAGGAAGTTCTGTCTCCTGACACTAAGATCTTAGTGTCTCCTGACACTTAGATGTTCCATGTTACATGGAACCTCTCACAGCATTCCATTCCTTGCTTGGAAATAGAACTGTCTGAATCCTTAACAGACAATCTAGCTGTGTTTTTAAATATCATGGAGAAAGTAGAGAAGAAGGTATATAAGCTGATAGAAGCCACTCAAGTTCCAGTTAGCACTACTTAATTGTATCTCTAAATAGTATAATTACAGATCTTCTCTACTATTACAAATGAGTAAGTCTGACTAAACAGTAAGCTGAAGAATTAATCTGGCTGACGTTTACAGCCACTTTTTCAGTGACCACCAAAGGGAAAAGTTTTCAGGGAAGGCTGACTGGCGAACACAAGTGGTAAATCTTCAAGGATTTGAAGTACCTGTCACATAATTTGACCGCTGCCAGGAAGCCATGGATCCAGACCCAGGGGAGTGTCCTTAATTCCTCTTACCCACATTTCTTCTTCTTTTTTCCAAAAAAAAAAAAATCATTCCTCCTTGTTTTCTGAGGCAGAAACTTTTTCCCTTCAACTCCCATATGTGGACGTCCCAGGCGAACATTTGCTCTGCTCTCTAGAGCTTTGTTTCTTGCACCTCTTCTTCAGTCTCTTCCTTCAGAGCAGCAATGTTAGAGCGAGACTTCTGCCTGCTCGAGTTCCGCTGGGGCAAGAGCTTCAAGCGGTCTGCGGGGCTGATGGCCTGCCGGAAGAGGCTCTTCTCGCTCAGCATCCTCTGGATGGAGTCATACTGCCGCACCTTGTTCTCCTCTATGACCTAGGGAAGTGGCCGTTAGTGAGATCTTGGACAAGGAGGCAGGGCGGGCCACAGCAAGACAAGAGCAGCACCAGCTCAGAGGAGGAGGGAAGCCAGAAAGAACACAGCATCCAGAGGCTCATGGTTTGAACAGTCAGGGGCTGTTCATTTCACTACTGAGTCCTTTTGCTTTATAGAGTTTCTACCACTTGTGATATTAGCTGTAATTTTCTACTTAGAAGCTGAAAGTTTTTTTTTTTTTTAATTGGTACAGTACTAAACAATGTGCTTCTTCAGAGAACTTTAGAGGAACTAAGTGGGCTTTGAAAACAAGAATTATTTATATTAGATCCCTGATGTATTAACCTTAAAAATAAGCAAAAGTCCACAGCACCATAAAGAGTTGGATGTCTTCAACAGTGGATTTAAAGCTTAATAATTTGGAATTGGTCAGGGTATGCCTTAGTTTGGGCTTCCCTGGTGGCTCAGTCAGTAAAGAATTCACCTGCAATTCAGGAGACCGCCTCCTATACAGGAGACCCAGGTTTGATCCCTGGGTCAGGAAGATAACCTGGAGAAGGAAATGGCAACCCACTCTAGTATGCTTGCCTGAGAAATTCCACGGACAGAGGAGCCTGGCGGGCTACAGCCAGTAGGGTTGCAAAAAGTCAGACATGACTTAGGGACTAAACCACCACATGCATGAGTTTACTGCACCTCCTTCACATGTTCAAGCTGAACCTGAGCATAGCTGGGCAAGAGGATGCAAGTCGGCCCCCTAATTTATCACTTGAAGCTTAGTAATAATAATGGTAATAACTATCCTTCATTAAGAAAAACATTTACCTCGAGGAGTCTCAAAATTCTTAATAGAAATGATGTGGTCCAGATAGGAAAATAAGAAGTGAAACTCTCGCTGTTTGCAGATGACATGATCCTCTACATAGAAAACCCTAAAGATTCTACCAGAAAATTACTAGAGCTAATCAACGAATACAGTAAAGTTGCAGGATATAAAATTAACACACAGAAATCCCTTGCATTCCTATACACTAACAATGAGAAAACAGAAAGAGAAATTAAGGAAACAATACCATTCACCATTGCAACAAAAAGAATAAAATACTTAGGAGTATATATATCTACCTAAAGAAACAAAAGACCTATACATAGAAAACTATAAAACACTGATGAAAGAAATCAAGGAGGACACAAACAGATGGAGAAATATACCGTGTTCATGGATTGGAAGAATCAATATTGTCAAAATGGCTATACTACCCAAAGCAATCTATAGATTCAATGCAATCCCTATTAAGCTACCAACGGTATTTTTCACAGAACTAGAACAAATAATTTCACAATTTGTATGGAAGTACAAAAAACCTCGAATAGCCAAAGTAATCTTGAGAAAGAAGAATGGAACTGGAGGAATCAACCTGCCTGACTTCAGACTATACTACAAAGCCACAGTCATCAAGACAGTATGGTACTGGCACAAAGACAGAAATATAGATCAATGGAAGGGAATAGAAAGCCCAGAGATAAATCTACGAACCTATGGACACCTTATCTTCAACAAAGGAGGCAAGGATATACAATGGAAAAAAAGACAACCTCTTTAACAAGTGGTGCTGGGAAAACTGGTCAACCACTTGTAAAAGAATGAAACTAGAACACTTTCTAACACCATACACAAAAATAAACTCAAAATGGATTAAAGATCTAAATGTAAGACCAGAAACTATAAAACTCCTAGAGGAGAACATAGGCAAAACACTCTCTGACATAAATCACAGCAGGATCCTCTATGACCCACCTCCCAGAATACTGGAAATAAAAGCAAAAGTAAACAAATGGGACCTAATGAAACTTAAAAGCTTTTGCACAACAGAGGAAACTATAAGCAAGGTGAAAAGACAGCCCTCAGATTGGGAGAAAATAATAGCAAACGAAGCAACAGACAAAGGATTAATCTCAAAAATATACAAGCAACTCCTCCAGCTCAATTCCAGAAAAATAAATGACCCAATCAAAAAATGGGCCAAAGAACTAAACAGACATTTCTCCAAGGAAGACATACAGATGGCTAACAAACACATGAAAAGATGCTCAACATCACTCATTACCAGAGAAATGCAAATCAAAACCACAATGAGGTACCATTACACGCCAGTCAGGATGGCTGCTATCCAAAAGTCTACAAGCAATAAATTGCTGGAGAGGGTGTGGAGAAAAGGGAACCCTCTTACACTGTTGGTGGGAATGCAAACTAGTACAGCCGCTATGGAAAACAGTGTGGAGATTTCTTAAAAAACTGGAAAAAGAAATGCCATATGACCCAGCAATCCCACTTCTGGGCATACACACCGAGGAAACCAGATCTGAAAGAGACACGTGCACCCCAATGTTCATCGCAGCACTGTTTATAATAGCCAGTACATGGAAGCAACCTAGATGCCCATCAGCAGACGAATGGATAAGGAAGCTGTGGTACATATACACCATGGAATATTACTCAGCCATTAAAAAGAATTCATTTGAATCAGTTCTAATGAGGTGGATGAAACTGGAGCCCATTATACAGAGTGAAGTAAGCCAGAAAGATAAAGACCATTATAGTATCCTAACACATATATATGGAATTTAGAAAGATGGTAATGATAACCCTATATGCAAAGCAGAAAAAGAGACACAGATGTACAGAACAGACTTTTGGACTCTGTGGGAGAAGGCGAGGGTGGGATGTTTTGAGAGAACAGCATCGAAACATGTATGTTATCTATAGTGAAACAGATCACCAGCCCAGGTTGGATGCATGAGACAAGTGCTCAGGCCTGGTGCACTGGGAAGACCCAGAGAGATTGGGTAGAGAGGGAGGTGGGAGGGGGGACCGGGATGGGGAATACATGTAAATCCATGGCTAATTCATTTCAATGTATGACAAAACCCACTACAATATTGTAAAGTAATTAGCCTCCAACTAATAAAAACAAATGAAAAAAAAAAAAAGAAATGATGTGGTATATCATCCCCAGAGTTTCCTTCTGACTAAACCCAAAGGAATTTGTACACATCACTTGAAAGAATCTGTGGCAGTTTTGAAAGCACAAAGAGAACGTGGTTGGGAGAGGCACAAAGATGAGCTCCACATAATGGCTAAAAATGAAATAAACCTTTCATCAACTGCATTGAAATCATACATCAGATTGCAAGACAATCCAGGCCCGGCCTGGACCACATCCAAGGGAGATTTAGTTTCTGAAAGCATTGGGACTTAGTCTTTTTTATTACTTAATCCCCAAATAAAAGACTCAATAAGTATAGATATTCTAATTTATTAATGTAACTTAGTGATAAGCTGCTATTTTAGATTTGCTGAATTCCAACCTCACCTTGTTGCTCAGATCAAAGTGAGAAACTTGGGCAGGTATGTATTTGGAGTAAAGCTGGATGGTTGTGTGACATGTGTTATAAGGAAGAGCTTGTACATTGCTGTGACTTACAGGAATGATCACATAGAAGACTGTTACCAAGAATCAAAGGAGAGATAAAATCTAAGGTAAATTATAAACACTCACCAAAAATCGTTGACATTCCAACATTGCTTCTATCCTGTGTTCAGAGAGGATTACTGTGCAATCAGCAAATGCTTGTTTTAGGGTTCTTCGAATGACCTGGTATGTTCTAGGGGAAAAAAATATATAATAGCACAGAACATTAATACCCTGTCTCTATCCTCGATAACAGACCTATTGTTCTATCGATTTAATTCTTTAAATTACTTCTCTTTTCTTGAATCCTTTTAACATAATGTTGAGAGACAGAGTCAGCTACAATCTAGTTTCCAAACATAGCATAGATTCTAAGTTTTCATAAATAAATAGGACAAATATTTGGGAAAAAATTTCACAAAGCTTGAAAAAAATTTCCCAAATAAACATGTTTTTAATTATGTATAATCACTAGTAGTTCTTTGTTTTGTGCTATAAATATTTCCTATGGTATAAATGGGATAGTAAGGAAAACCATAAGGATTCAATTACACCTGTGTAACTAAATATTTCACCATGTAATGATAAGGGGGAAGAGTTTGTATGAAATTCTAAAATTATACTTAGAAAACACAGCTCTTATACTGGGAAATAAGTACCTGTACTAATGTCAAGTGGTAATTTTTCTATTGGGCAATTACTTTATATCTAGAGGGTGGTCTGCTTGCAGACATGGCAGCCTGATGGAAATTTGTGTCAATATGAAATAGGGCTCAATGATTCGTTCTCCTCCCTGTATTAGTAAATGACAGGAATTCTGAAACTCACATTGGATCCAAATGAGCACTGGGTTCATCAAGCAGCAAGATCTTTGCTTTACTGAGAACAGATCTGGCCAAGCACATCAACTGCTTGTGGCCATGGCTTAGAACACAACCCCCATCCACAAGGACAAAATCAAGCTTCCCAGGAAACTGCTCAATCACAGATCTGAGTCCGACCTGCAGAAAAGAGGAAAAATGCTATGCTTAGGAGGGGTAGTTCACGTATTACAGGGTTAAAAACATTTAAGAGGCTGACAATCTGAAAAGACACACAGGAGTTCTAAAAGTTTAAATTTCATACCAACTCCCCTCTACCACCACCATTCTTACTACTTGGCTTTAATTGAACAAAAGACTGTATAATCTTGGCAGTTCTAAATCACTGGTCTACAGAATATTTCAGTTCTGTACTTTGTCTTTCATGAGATTTTCAGTGAGTTCCTATTCTGTGCCAGGTCATGCAATAGGGTTTAAAGAGATGATGACTGGCAAAGTTCAGGGTTTATAAAGACATACACAGATAAGTAAACACAGTTGAAGATACGATAATATAATAATAGATAAAGAAAAGATAATATATATAGAATGCAGTTACTCTATCCTAACAGAGTCCTTTATGCCACCTTCCATTCTCTGCTCTGCCATAATAGAAAATGAAGTGTAGCACTAAAAAAATCAACTGGCAAGCCACTGAGGGATGGGATGGGGAGGGAGGGGGGAGGGCGGTTCAGGATGGGGGACACATGTACACCCATGGCTGATTCATGTCAATGTATGGCAAAAACCACCCTAATATTGTAAAGTAATTAGCCTCCAATTAAAATAAATAAATTAATTAAAACAAAAACAAAAAACTGACTTTAAGAAAGTGATCAAACTATGAGGTAAAAGTAACTGGATGTAAAATAGTGATATATTGGGAATTCACTGGTGTCCAGTGGTTAGGAAACCAACCTTCTATTGTAGAGGGCATGAGTTCAATCCCTGGTCGGGGAACTAAGATCCCACAGGCTGCACAGTACAGCCAAAAAAAACCCCAAAAACTAGTGGTGTATAACTGGAGATTTAAAGGTACCTAGATATTAGGGTAGAATATGAGAATTCTGTTAGGGTCAATGACTTTTTTTTTAAGCTAGATAGAAAAAAAATAGGTTGAAAGTGCAAATGAGATATAGAAATCCATTCTTTCAGAATAAAACAAAAATGAAATCTTCCCTCATCATATCACTTATTCAAATAAATGTGAATTGACATACATATTTTTGCCAAGTGTTGCTGAGTACTTGAGAGCTAAAGAGATACATAAATTATTATATCCTGCCCTTGGGAAGTTTGAGATTTAGTACTGGGAGGTGAGATATGTTCCCACCTACCTGTAATACAGGCAGAAAGAGATAATAGCCTAAGACAGACTCTCATGAGTTCAGTGATGAAGTCAGAGATGGCCCACATCACTGTGTTTGTTCAGTAAATATTAACTATGTGCCCATGATATGTATTGTAGACAATACTCCTTGACTGGATTTCTCTTTAAAGCAGCCTCACTCTGTGAGAATTCATCAATGTTTGAAAAGTTTCTGAGAAGGCAGGGAATGTAAACACATTAATTAGACAAAGGGGACTACTCTGAGGTATTCTGAAAGACTCAAACATAAAACTAATTTGGGATCTGAATAGCCGAGAATGTGAATGAGTGAGGAGCTGGAGGACTTGGGTTCTTTCTCTCTTCAGCTTGCGCTTTTCATTGGCTTCAGCCTGTGAACCTGCTACATCTCTCCCTTCTTAAAACAAAAACAAACCCCTCACTTGCCTCCAGCTTTTCCTTTAGCTATTATTTAATATTTACCCTTTTGTCATCTAGAAATCTTAAACAATGAGTGCACATCTATTGTCTCTACTGCCTGAGACCACAGAACATTTTTCCCCTTCTTCAAACATCTAATCCTTGGCTTATGAGAAACCACACCCTCTCCAACCATTTCTACCTATTATCATGTGTAGGTAACTCTCCCTCTTCCTGTCCCTTGAATATTAGTTTTCCTCATTGCCAGCTCTCCAAACACTTCTTCCGAGATCTCATTCATTCTTAGGGTCTCGACTACCACTGATAAGCGAATGATTTTTCACCTTTATCTCCAGCCCCAGGACTCTTTCAAATGCTTCTTAATCTTACTCATTCTCTCTAACCCTAAACTTAATAACAACTGAATCCAGGCCATTATTATCTCTTAAGCTTCATGCTATAGATCTCAAGTTGATTTGTCACCCCAAAACCCCACAGGAACCCTTCTAAAATAGAGGTTTGACCCTATGGTTTCTCTGTTTTAAAACCCACAGTGGCTGTTCTGACAAAATAACTGAACTCTCTCACATGGCAGACAAGGCACTCAGAACCCAGCCCTCTCTACCTTTACTTCCAGTAGCACTAAACGCACACTTATAGCTCCCTCTACACCTTGACCTTCTCAGGTCTGTGCCATAGCTTAGCATGGAGTACCCTTCCAAATACTCCTGGTCAGCTGCTAGGTCAGTCAGGCACACAGTCCCAGAAGCATGGGTGCAAGTTCCCTTGTTAGACTGTCAGCTTCCTGAGCATAAAGACACATGCTCAGTGCCCTTGCTGTACTCACTGCCAGCCTCAACACATCCATCCATTGGTTCAACAAATGTGCACTGAGCCCCTAGAATGCTGACCCAAGACAAACACGGCTTTGATGAATGATTTTAAAACATCCAAATTTAAAGAAGAATGACAAATGGTAAACGGTGCTAGGTTTAGCTCTGCCAATATAGACCATGATCTAATACCAGTCACTTCATCTGCATACCTCCATTTTCTCATTTTTAAGATTCTATAAAACTTCTTTTTAAAAAAGTATAAAATAAGGAGTTTTTTTTAACACTATAAGTCAGTATTTTCTTCAGATGAATCAGAAATATTGGGGAATTTTTTTAAAGTCAAATTAAGCATCAAGAAAACTACTGATAAAATACTAAAACTTGGAAGTCACACACAACTAGCTTTCAGTCTGCACTCCACCACTCCCTTGCTGACGATGTCAACTGTGTTACTGGAAGTCTCACCTAACTCACTGGGAAAATATGGGGAAAATAATAGGATAGACTATAATGGGGATTATAATGGGGATTAATGAGATAATTTGTGGAAAGATCTTGCCACAGCGTATAGCACAGGGTAAGCATCTAATCCACCCCAAGTATTAGTATTGTTAGAACCTGGGGAATTCCGAGTCATGGGCCTGGTCACTGAAACACTTCACAGATATGACAGCATGATTTGTAAGATTTCCCCTTTGTAAGTTACCGTAGAAGGCAAGTTAGCAGGAAGTATTACAATAGTAATGATTTACACCACGCCCCTAGTAACAGGGTTAGGACTTTGCTAAGAATGTTTCACAGTATGTATTCTCCCTTTTTAGATTCACACCACTCATACCCTCATCTATTAAGGCCACACTGGGAAAGCTACTTTAGTGAGTTATACTTTGTACTTTCCTGTGACAAAGAGCTGAACAAAGTCTGTAGTTTTTACCCAAATGGAACTTCTTAACACAGTAAACAAGTACCTGAATACATAGCCGTGTTATAGAGAACAAAACTATACAATGAGTGACGGAGAGGCAGACCAATCCAGGGTGCATTTTGCCACATTTCTATCTTACTGTTTAACTCCCTACCAAGTATAGTAAAAAATCTTTTAAAACCATATTCACTAGAGAAAGGTGAACCTAAGTTAGTAAATCTTTAAATTTGAAGCCAGTGAATATTTAATGTACTAATTACATATTTCCTGCCTGATATGATGATAGGCTTTAGAGAGAAAATAGGAAGTAAGACAGACTAATAATTAGTTTTGAAAAGATACAAAGCCCTTATTACCAACTCCATGTGCCAATAAGAATGGCTTAAATTAACCTCGTGATTTTTTTTTGGTGCTTAGTAACAGATTCCTTAATATACTCTTAATGGGAGTTTATTAAATCCTAGGTACTATGGCAGACCTGGGAATTCAAAGATGAGTAACACCAGGCCCTGCCTTGAAGGAAATCATGGTTCAAATGGGGAGAAAACTAACAAGTGGGAAATAACTGCTCAAAGAGAAAAGTGCTATTGGAAGAAAAAAAAATACTGAAAGGGAACTTGCTACAGAAATCATATAATTTAGTGATCTTTAACAGCAGAATTCTTTAAAAATAAATACCTATACTTACATACATGCATATGCACATATGTGTGTGTGTGTGTATACTATGTTATTTGCACTATTGCCACAAACCATTTTTCAATAGATTAAAAACAAATATAAACTTTAGCTTAGTCTGTTCAAACTAAAGTGAATTTTAAATATATGGAATCTCAACATTTCTAATTATTTTCATTCCAAGTTAGCATTGCAAATAACTTAAAGCATCCACAGTTTGTGGATATAAAGAACTTTAGGAAAAAAGCATTTGCCAGCTTTCTGTGACTGAACTGATAAATCATACATACTTCCAAACTTCTGTTTACAAAGAACAAATTTTATCTTGTGACACATCAAACTAAAAAATGTGTTACAGTCTGAAAAGGACCAGGCATTTTCTTCAAAGTATCAACTTTTGCAATTGTTGCACTCTGAAATGTTATTATAGAGCAAGAGTTTGTTCTTGTGACAAGGAAACATGGGGGAAAAAAAAAGGAAAGTGAAGTGTAGTTGGACTGGGAAGTCCATTGATAGGTAGTTACAAAGATAGACTCTGTCAACTCCTTTAGACCTTTGTTTTGCTATTCTACAGGTTTTCCAGGACAAATTTTCAGCTTAAAAGGCCACTATTTCTGCTATTTAGCTTGCTCTCTAAAATAGCTTACCTGACTATTGATGTGTAAAGAAGGAAGCTATTTTATAAGCAATCTAAGGAGCAAACAATTCCCCAAAAGTCTCCATTCCGAAACCATTCTATCAGTTTGGATAACACTGAGTAACACTGAGACTGCGGTGAAGGAGCTTGAGATGATAGACAATGTCAAGGCACCTCACTGCGGGGAAAGGGTCTGTGATCCAGAAACCAAGGGAAGGAGCTGCACCCCTCACCTACCCCAGCCAAGATCCTCAGACGTCTCAACGCTCAGCGTGCTCATGACAAACGTTGAAACCCATGTGGATCACAAGGCTGCCTTCACGACACATTACACATGAACAATTTATTTTTTTCATTTAAATAAACTAATCAAATCATTCATTCATTCATTCATTCAACCCATATTTACTGAACACCACCCACATGCCCCACACTGCTCTAGGCTCTGGAAACACCGCAGAGACTCATCCCTGCCCTCAAGGAGCTTACAAGCCCGTGGGGGAAGTGGACAAGTTAAGAGGTGAATCTCTCTCTCGTGTGGACAAAGCTGTGACAGGCGTGGAGGTACAGGAGACACCTAGGAGAGCTCCTCACACCTGGAGCATCAGGGCAGGTTTCTGGGAAGAAGTGAGGTATAAGTAGAGGCCTGAATGAGGAGGAGGGGCAGGTAGTGAAGGGCTAGCAGGGTGTCCCAGCCACAGAGCATGTGAAAAAGCCTCTGCAAAACAGCACAAGGTGCCTTAGAGGAACCAAATAAATTCAGTGTAGCTGGATCCTGGTAAGCAGGGGCAGTTGTGGAGGGAGTTTAGAGACAGGCAGAGACAAAATCACATCAACTATGAGCACTGTGGACTTTGTCTAAAAGGCAATAAGGAGCCATAAGAAGAAGAGAAACAAGCAATCAGATGCAAGGCTGCAAAGGGCAGAATGAACTGTAAGGAGCCAGTAAGAGAGAAAGTGGAAAGGGGTCTATTTCAAAAATCCACACAAGAATGAGGAGTGTTGTGAGATGGGGACAAAGAAAAGTGAATATATTCTAGATATTTGCAGGCAACACCTTTGACAGGTGGAGACAGGTAGAGAAATTGGGAGTCAAGGATGAGCACCAGATCTTGGCTTTGGGCAACAAGAAGCTGGTGATGCCATTCACCGAGACTGGAAATGCAAGACAACTGTGTGGGTGATGCAGCTACGAAACTCACTTATGGACATAAGATGCCTGTCCATGCTGAAACGTCAGTGAGGAAGCTCTGGGAACAGGCAGATTTGGGAGTCATTAGCACAGAAGAATTAGTTAGAGCTATGAAGATGCATGATATTTTCCAGGAAGAGTAAGTAAAATAAGACAACAAATAGGATTCTGTCAAACAGCAACATATAAAAGACGACCAGGTAAAGACCACATGAAAACATGACTATAATAGCTAATGTTCACTGACTGTTACTTGCCAGGCCCTAGGCTGGGCCTCTTATACATACTAGCCTGAAAATTTATAGCAACCCTACCAATTTATTAGACCACAATGTTAGGGGTCTAATTTTTTTTCTTTCTCGCTCAAGATTCAGCCTCCTTTGAAATTCTCCTTGTCTACACAGCTGGCAGTCAGGGCTCCTAGGGAGAACTATCTGGTCCTCAGTGGTTTCAGTTCAGTTCAGTCGCTCAGTCATGTCCGAATCTTTGTGACCCCATGAATCGCAGCACGCCAAGCCTCCCTGTCCATCACCAACTCCCGGAGTTTACTCAAACTCATGCCCATCGAGTCGGTGATGCCATCCAGCCATCTCATCCTCTGTTGTCCCCTTCTCCTCCTGCCCCCAATCCCTCCCAGCATCAGGGTCTTTTCCAATGAGTCAACTCTTCGCCTGAGGTGGCCAAAGTATTGGAGTTTCAGCTTTAGCATCAGTCCTTCCAGTGAACACCCAGGACTGATCTCCTTTAGGATGGACTGGTTGGATCTCCTTGCAGTCCAAGGGACTCTCAAGAGTCTTCTTTCATAGTTGCAGGTCATAGACAAAAACTCTTTCTCTCCCTTGGACTTGCTTTAAATTCATCCATTGAATGATAAGGTGTATAATGCCAGGATAAAGGCCTGGGCCTAGGGCACAAAGGGTAAAAGAGCTGTTCTGACCACCAGTTTTGCTCCCAAGTCTTAGAGTTTGTAACTAGGCATGTTCCTCATGGCTTCAGATGATCCAGTCCAGATGTGCAAAGGACCCACCTGGAGTTAGGACCAAATCCAAGGTAGGAATAGAGTATTTCTTGGCCTGACATTGTCTTCATGAGCTCTTTTAATTTCCCTTTCAGGGAAAGGGGAATTTCAAAGAAGGTGCTCTTGGGATAAGATTCAAGTGTTAACTCTCTGCTATAATTCAGTCCATTTCCCTCTAGAGAAATGAGTCACACTAAGGTCAGAGACAGGCCCAGATGAGATGATATTCAATCCCAGTTTTCCCTGGCCAGTCCTGGCTGACATCTTTTGTCCCAGTCTCCTGTCCAGGTGAGTAATGGACACATCCCCGAATGGTCCTATTTGGGCAAAGCGTATGATCAACCATATAGGATTAAACCCAGACCCCATAACTTGTAAGCCAATGTAGTTTCTGCTTCTCTGGGCTTTTGCTGCTTTGTCTGTGCTCTATTCTAATGCTACTTCAACAAAAATTTACCAATACTCCTCAAATACATGACATTAATACAAAGACAGCAGCAGCAACTTTATGAACAGCAAATTATTTTAAAAAGACCAGTAAAAAGATATACCTAAATATGAGCTGATCAAATAAAAATCTAAACAGGTAAAATTTTTGCATTATACTAGCATTTAAAGTGCTTATGCTATACCCAGGTCTGGGGCATCCAGAGCCCCTGCCCCAGCGGCAGGCCACTGCTGATCCATACCTCCACGGGAGACACTCAGACTCAAAGACAGGTCTGGCTCAGACTCTGTGGCATCCCCTGGTGAGCCCAAGGTTTTGTTTGAGCCCTCCAAGCATCTCTGGCAGGTATGGGGTTTGATTCTAAACATAATTTCGCCTCTCCAGCCATCTTGCTGGATGTGGGGTATCCTTTTTTTTGGCGGGATCCTTCATTCTCCTGTCAACAGTTGCTCAGCAGCGAGTTATAATTTGGAGTTCACAGGAGACGATGAGCCCCTGACCTTCTACTCGGCCATCTTGGGTCTATCCTTACAGTTGGTGTGCATGCAGTGAGTTTTTGGGCATGGGGATACATAGATTGTCTTCATGTCTTCAGATTGTTAGATTCTCATAGGAAAAGATTAGGTTGTATACTTTTAACAAAGAAAAATGCCCAAAAGATTTTATTTTTATCTTTAGGAAGAAAGGAAGACATTAAAAGGGAATTGTCATTTAAGTCATAGTTACTTTCATAGCTAACATAAAGTAATGGTTATTTTGCTATACCATATAAATGTACTCATTGAAAATTTATATGCATATACAAACATATTGTAAATGTATATACACATACATATGTAAAATTAGTTCTAGCGATATAGATAGGATAATTTCTATTTAAACATCTATTCCTTGCTTTACTTTTTTTCTTTTTGAACAAAAAATGGAAATGGAATTTCAGTTATAAGCTTAAATGTGTAGAAACCTGTTTCATTAATATCTAAAACAATGTTAATTTTTATATAAAATGTTTAAGTGGCTATGTATTTGTTTAATGTTTCCATATATACTTCTGTGAGAACAGAATTTCTGTGATTTTGAGTATTTTTTTTTCTGAGAACTTTTGAACATTTCCTGGTGGGTAGTTAAATTTGTATATTATAATCAGTAACCAATGTCAGGAGTATTCTCAGTTGCCTATGATGTAAATAATGAAAATTTGTTAGAAGTATCATTAGTATATCTTATTTTGTGTAGCAGTTTGGCAATGACAATCAAAATTTGAATATGTAAAACTTTCAAAATGATAAAACTTGCTGATGGAATTTTACCTATTACTGTTCTCAAATTCATAAAAAAGAAAATATGTTAGTGATTATAACATAATTTGAATGTCTGAAATATATATCATTAAAAGAATTGTAATGATTAAAAAAAAATCTTAACCATGTCTTCTAAAACTTTAGATTATTTTTATGACCCTGATTTCCTGTAAATTTTATTGTGACTTGGCAATACTTCCAGATTTTATAAAGTCTTCTGTCTTCCTTTCAAAGTTTCTCTCCCACCACATTGTGTTCCTATAGTTCATTCTCTGAAGTCACATCAAAGACCTTAAAATGTGTCACTTGCAATTTAGTTAATGTTTTCTTTAAAACCCCTGTTTGTTTAGTAATAAGGAAACTTTGATAATGAAGACGGTTAAAGTGCATTTTATTAGGGGCATGTTAAGGTTAGACATTCAACGGGTAAGTGTTTAAACTCATGGGCATTTCAAAGCTCCTGGCAAGATCCACTCCGAAGGGAGGCAGACAAGGAAAGAAAATTTGGAATAAAAAGATCTCCAAATATGTTGGAAACAGTGGGATAAAGTTGTTCTCTAAGAAGGCCTTTGTATCTAGTGTTCTTAAGTCCCATAACTGTAGTAGGGCACAATTCAGATCTTTGGACATAAACCTCAGTTAATAAACTAGAACAACTTATGTTCTCCTTTCTTAAATACGATGCCTGTATTTCAAGAATTATTAGTTAACAGCTAGAGTGTCTATCAAGCAAGCCAAGATTCCCACTTAAGCTCTCCACCAACTCTATTTCCAAAATTACTTCAGTTAACATCCTTACCTCATCTGCAACTTTCCATATTTCTTGATCACTCCACTGTCCATAGGGATCCAAGTTTTTTCTAAATGTTCCAGAAAAGATGAATACTTTCTATAGTAACAAAAAAAAGAGGAAAGCATGAATAACCTAAACATCTTTGTATATTTCCCTTACTTTATTTTGAAATTTCCAAACAGAAAAAATATTTTAAAATAAAATAATGAAACATCCATGTACTTACCACTCAGTTTTAATTTAAAAAATTTTTATATTTGCTTGGTATCTTTTTTAAAGAAATAAAATATTACAGCTACATCTGAAACCCCTTATGAATACTTATCTAACTTCCATGTCCTTAGGATAAAGAAATTGAGATCACTTTAAGTTGTGGGAAATTAAAATTTTTTATTCAGAGCAATATTATTATAAGCAAATATAATATAAAATTAAACAGTTAAAAATTATGCTTATGAGGATTTCCCTGGTGGTTCAGTGGTTAAGACTCTGTATTTTCACAGCAGGGGACACGAATCTCATTCCTGGTCAGGGACGTTCCACATACTGTGCAGTGCAGCCAAAAAAAAAAAAAATATGTTTATGAGTTATAATGAACTTGTTAGAACAAAATTCCTATTTTGCTCCAGTATTTTCCTTGGATTTCTTTTATAATCCTAGCTTCCTAAGGGATTTTGAAACTGTCTGAATTTACAGACACTCAAACACATATGTTCATATGGTCTATAAACCAAGGTAAACGTGTACCTAGACAGGCACAAGAAAGGGTTACAACTTAGAAATCAGTGAAAGAATGAAAATCAAATATTTGTGTAACTGACTGCATGTCACAGAGGGAAGGGGGGCAGATGAGACGGATCATGCTGAGGTGGCAAATTGACAATCTAATTCCCTGTTAAGGGACACTGCACAGCTCTCACCCTTGCTTGCTGCATCACTGTCTACTTAAGTCTGCCTGTATGAATAAAAAAAAAAATTTAAGAAAATCACTGTCTCATTGGGAAGTGCAACAACAATAATAATATTTAGGTCTCTCTCTGTATATATGGGTGAACTGAAAAATACTTTTGATGTTAACGTTCAGACAATTTTTTTCTTTACCTTTTTCTTTTGCCTTTGGTTAATAACACAGTCAGGAGAACTGCTAACTAAATTTTTTGAATTTTCACTAGCTGCCTTAGACTGAGAGAGAATGCTCAGCACCCATCTGATCTGTGAGGAACTACAGAAGGTAAGTTGGCCCCAGATGAATGGTGTCTGTGCCTTGCCATGGCAGTCAAGTTCAAGGATAGTCCTATTAGAGACCTCATTCCCTGGGGCATAATTTATGGCTTAAGGAACAAGGTTGTTGCCAAATATCTCAGGAACCCTCTGCAGAAGGCAACAAGATTATGCTGGTATTTCTTAATTTGCATCAAATCAGTTCCTAAGGGACGCTTCCACTGCTTTACAGAAGTGAACATAAGAGACAATATATGACTCATGAGCTCATAAGAGGTGATGGATATATTTTTTGTACATCCTCCTCCAAGCTCCCAAGTAAAAGAAAGTAATGCCCAAATAAGCTAAAGAGAACAGACAATGTATGCTATTGAGAGATTCTGATAAAGTAAAGAGAAGTGGCTCTGAGAATGCCAGTCAATTTATTACTGAAGCAATCAGGTTTATCTAGTATCTAAAGTTCACAGGCTTGCCGATGGAATTTTGCCATTTACTGTCTTTCACATACCTTCTTTTAATATTTTCTTTATATAAAAGTTTCTAGCATTATGTGAAATAACAACTGTTAAGAGTTTACAAAGTATCAGACAGTGCATCACTTCACTAAAGTTATCTCTACCAGGAACTCAGAGGCTACAACAGAGTCTATGGCCAGCTTACCACAGGCCAGATAAGACTCTTTACATGTGTTGTCTCTTTTTATCTTCATATAAATTTAATGAGACAGATCTTACTGCTGTTCACGAAGAAATCACAGTCGGGAGAAGTTAAGTGACTTGCCCAAGGTTACTGAGCTGGTAGTTACAGAGTTGGAATTCAAACCTTTAGAGTGATCTTCAAATTCATGGCAAAATACCTCAAGTCCTGGGCAGACCAGTTTTGATTCCTGGTATGGAGCTTAGGAAAGATTAAAGGTTGGGCAGAAGGAGCCCAGGGGGTCCATAAAGAGCCCATTCGCACTCAGCAACACAGTTGTCAGTTCAAGCAGTGCTATCCATCCCTCAAGCCTCAGTACCTACACTGTGAATTGAGAGTTTAGCTTTCTCTTTCTATGCAGGACCTGATTCAAGGGTTTTTATTTGGGCTACAGTGTCCTTGTAACTTTTACGGGGACTTACATATCCAATGGAAAAGCACAATATGAAATTTTACTTTGGCCAAATGGAAAAATGCCAGCATTCTGGAGGACCACAGGTAGAGGCTGAAAGTATTAAAACATCAAAGCAAATACAGAAGTTTGCTAAGGGCAGAGTGCCTTGTGCAGATGCTGTGACAATACAGCTCTTTCCCAGCAAGTGTACCTACGAACAAGAACCCAATCTTTTTAAGTTTCACTGTTACTATAAAATGGGGGAGATGTCACATTTTTTGATTTTCTAAAATCTACTCTACCTCTGGGCTTTTCCATTTTGACAGATAGTGCTTTTATTTTGAAAATGAAATCACTCAGTCATGTACAACTCTTTGCAAACCTATGGACTGTAGAACAGTGATCAATGCAAAGAAATAGAGGAAATCAACAGAATAGGAAAGACTAGAGATCTCTTGAAGAAAATTAGCGATACCAAGGGAACATGTCATGCAAAGATGGGCACAATAAAGGACAGAAATGGTATGGACCTAACAGAAGCAGAAGATAGTAAGAAGAGGTGGCAAGAATACACAGAAGAACTATACAAAAAAGACCTTCAAGACCCAGATAATCATGATGGTGTGATCACTCAACTAGAGCTAGACATCCTCAAATGTGAAGTCAAGTGGGTCTTAGGAAGTATCACTATGAACAAAGCTACTGGAGGTGATGGAATTCCAGTTGAGCTATTTCAAATCCTAAAAGATGATGCTGTGAAAGTGCTACCCTCAATATGCCAGCAAATTTGGAGAACTCAGCAATGGCCACAGGATGGGAAAATGTCAGTTTTTATTCCAATCCCAAAGAAAGGCAATGCCAAAAAATGTTCAAACTACCACACAATTGCAGTTATCTCACACACTACCAAAGTAATGCTCAAAATTCTCAACAATACATGAACCATGAACCTCCAGATGATCAAGCAGGATCTAGAAAAGGCAGAGGAACTAGGTATCAAATTACCAACATCTGTTGGATCATCAAAAAAGCAAGAGAGTTCCAGAAAAACATCTACTTCTGCTTTACTGACTATGCCAAAGCCTTTGATTGGATCACAACAAACTGGAAAATTCTTCAAGAGATGGGAATACCAGACCACCTGATCTGCCTCTTGAGAAATCTGTATGCAGGTCAGGAACCAACAGTTAGAACTGGACATGGAACAACAGATTGGTACCAAGTCAGGAAAGGAGTACATAAAGATGTATACTGTCATCCTGCTTGTTTAACTTATATGCAGAGTACATCATGAGAAACGCTAGACTGGATGAAGCACAAGCTGGAATCAAGATTGCTGGGAGAAATATCAATAACCTCAGATATGCAATTGACACCACCCTTATGGCAGAAAGCAAAGAAGAATGAAAGAGTCTCTTGATGAAAGTGAAGGAGGAGAGTGAAAAAGTTGGCTTAAAATTCAACATTCAGAAAATGAAGATCATTGCACTTCATGAAAAATAGATGGGGAAACAATGAGAGACTATTTTTTTGAGCTCCAAAATCACTGCAGATGGTGACTGCAGCCATGAAATTAAAAGACCTTGCTCCTTGGGAAAAAAAATATGACCAACCTAGATAGCATATTAAAAAGCAAAGACATTACTTTGCCAACAAAGGTCCGTCTAGTCAAAGCTATGGTTTTTCCAGTAGTCATGTATGGATGTGAGAGTTGGACTATAAAGAAAGTTGAGTGCCAAAGAATTGATGCTTCTGAACTGTGGTGTTGGAAAAGTCTCTTGGAAATCAGTCCTGAATATTCATTGGAAGGACTGATGCTGAAGCTGAAACTCCAATAGTTTGGGCACGTGATGTGAAGAAATGACTCATTGGAAAAGACCCTGATGCTGGGAAAGATTGAAGGCGGGAGGAGAAGAGGATGACAGAGGATGAGATGGTTGGATGGTATCACCAACTCAATGGACATGAGTTTGAGTAAATTCCGGGAGTTGGTGATGGACAAGGAGGCCTGGTGTGCTACAGTCCATGGGGTCACAAAGAGTTGGACATAACTCAGCAATTGAACTGAACTGAACCAGACTGTAGCCCTCCAGGCTCCTCTGTCCAAGGAACTCTCCACGCCAGAATACTGGAGTGGGTGGCTGGTCCCTTCTCTAGGGGATCTTCCCAACCCAGGGACAGAACTCAGGTCTCCCACATTGCAGGTGGAGTTTTAACAATTTGAGCCACCACGGAAGCCCTTCATTTTATCAATCCACAAAATTCAGAGTCATACCTGACTTATCTCTCTCCCTGATCATCCCCAAAGGAATTAATCATTAGTCCTGTGGATTGTTTATCCAATAAAACTCAAAGCCATTTATTTCTCTATCGCTTTGGCTACCACATAGTTCAAGCCACCAGCATCATTCTCTGAACAGTGTAAGAACCTCCTATTTCCTTGCTTAGAAACCAAAGAAATCACCATCAATATAAATTGGATCATGTCATTAACCTTTTTTTAAAAACCTTCAGTGGGGACTTCCCTGGTAGTCCAGTGGTTAAGAATCTGTCTGCCAGTGCAGGGGACATGGGTTCGATCCCTGGTCCAGGAAGATCCCTCAGGGAAAATAAGCCTGTGTGCTACAACTACTGAGCCCACACACTGGAACTACTAAAGCCTGCATCCCCTAGCTCCTGTGCCCTGCAACAAGAGAAGCCACCTCAATGAGAAGCCCATGAACAGCAACTGGAGAGTAGCCTCCACTCGCCGCGTCTAGAGAAAGCTTGAATGCAGTAATGAAGA